TGAGCTGTCCTAGGTCCCATTAGTCCACATGGCTGCTGGAAAGGGGGCCCTGCAAACCCGGGGCTGCAAGCCAGTGCTGCTGGAGCAAACAGAGCACCCGGGCTCCAAGGCTGCCCTCAGCGGTGGTGGCCCGGAGGAGGCCGGCGCAGAGCTGGCACGATCAACACCCCCAGGCGAGCTGAGACTGGGGAAAGCACTGGCCCGGACGGTGCTCTGGGAACAAGAGCAGAGCGCCTTCATGGAGATGCCTCATCTCAAGAAAAGGCTACAGGGCATGTGGGCCAAGGAGAGGGAGCATGATGACTCCACAGGCCAGCCTGGCCCTCGGCAGCTGACGCAGGACATCCCTAGGGACCCAGCTGGCAGCACCGTCTTCTCCGCATGGCCCAGCAGCGCTGGAAGGAAGCAGAGAAGTGCCTTCAGCAAACCAGCCAGGTGCCCATCAGGGAGACCTGGGCCGGCCTCTCTCTTCCAGGCAGGCAGACCTGCAGATGCCCTGGGGGAGCTGGTGGGACCCATGCAAATAGTAGACATCCCTTGCTGGCCTAGACGTTCCAATTCCAAGGTTTCGGTGAGTGATTTCTGGAACCTGCAGATGCTGCCACAAAATGCTGCTCTCGGCAATGCTTCCGCGGGTGCCCCCACGCTGTGGCTAAAGCATGCCATGGCCCAGATACCCACAGCCTCCGCTTCCTCCTCGGTCTCCTGGGCCCTCCTACCATCTGCGTTCACGTCCCTGGGCTTGGCCACCCAGAACTGGTGCGCAAAGTGCAACCTCTCCTTTCGCCTGACCTCTGACCTGGTTTTTCATATGCGGTCCCACCACAGAAAGGAACATGCGGGGCCTGACCTGCATTCTAAGAAGCTGAGAGAAGAAGCACTCATGTGCCCCGTCTGCCGTGAGTACTTCCGGGAGCGCCACCATCTCTCCCGGCACATGACTTCTCACCGCTGACAGGTGGCTGTGGGCTGGGCGTGGTAAGGAGCACGACTCCCCCGGGGCGCCACGCAGAAAGCTGTCCGCAGCGTCTGCAGGGCGTCTGCTTTGGGATGCGCCCACGAACGACTCCGTCATAACTGAAAGAGGGAGTCCTTGGCTGGGATGTGTTTTGAAGTAAATAAACTCATGAAATAAAGTGATGCGCTTTGCTAACCCAGGGTGTTGGGACTACTGGGCGCAAAGTGCTTCCACCATCTTCCAGAGGGGGCCGCCCTGGCACCACACCCGGGCTCCACGGAGCCGCGTTTGGCTTGCAGCACCGGCTTTGGAGACAGACAAGCCTGGATTTGAGTCTCGGCCCTTTTACATACCAGACCTGCCCTTGAACAAACTGCCCTATCTGCCTGAGCCCCAGTTTTCTTATCTGTGAAATGGAGATATGACACGTGTTTTTGTGTGTTGTCAGGGTTACATGGAAAGACGTGAGGAAACAGGCCAGCACAGCCTGGAACAGTGTGATCACTGTGTGAAGGATGCTTATTATCATTGTCCGGATTAGTCAGCTGTTGCTACGTAACAAAATCGAAGTGGCCAACAACCCAGAGAATCAATTTCCCACCCGCGGGTCTGTGGGTTGGTGGGGTTGGGCTGGTCTTTTCCGGGCTCTGTCTCTGGAACGGATGGGCTACCCAGATCATGCTTCTCTCGTGGTCACACCACAGCACAAGAGGGCATGTCCACTTCCTGGGTCACTTCTGAGAACATCTCTTTGGCCAAAGCTAGTCAATGGCCAAGTTCAAGGTTAAGGAGTGAAATGTGCATGCTGCCATGGTGGAGCCAGGCGGAGCGAGTGGGTGTGTCACCTACCACAGGAGCGTGAAGACTGGGGTCAGTAGTTCACCCATGGTTCTCCACGTTCTGCATCTGTGGCTCTCAGGAAGGGAGCGTGTGCAAAGTTCAAGGTTTAACATGTTGTGAGCAGCGGGAGGGTTCTGGGTCCCATTATCTCTTCTGCATTTCCATGTTCGTCCTTGCAAACACCAGGCCACCAGGCCATAAACCCCGATGGCATGCAGGCTGGTTTCCACTTCACTTTCCGGATTTCTTCATTTGAGCTGCAGCTTGCAGCCCTCTGGTGGGGCCTCCATCACAGAGCTCAGGCTTGTGGTTGGAAGGATCTAGTGGGGGTACCATGGGAAGCACGCCTAAATCAGACCTGTGGGAAGGGGGGTGTGGCATCCCTGGAGGCCTTCTGAGGAGTGGGGGGCGGGGGAGGAGCATGAACTGAGCCTGAAAGTCAGCAGTGCTGGTGATTTAGACAGGGAGGGCAGTGGCTGGAAGGAGGGTGGTCAGAGCGCAGAGGCACCAGGGTGCCATAAGGCAGGCAGGAGGACTGTGTGGGGGAGGCAGCCCTCAGAGAAGATGGAGATGCACGAGGGCCTTGAAAGAGAAGAGTCTGGACCAGACATGGAGGTTCGGCTCTGAGAAGCATTTGGAGGGGGCCTCTGGCCTCAGTGGGAAGGGAAGGATGGGCTGGAGGAGAGGAGAGGCCCCACCTAAGGCCTTTCCGTTGCATCTGAAAGGAGCCCTGTGCTCCCTACAGGCACCAACAGAAACCTCCTTTCTCACGGGGAGGCTTGGAGGAAAGGCCTGCAGGCCAGCCCCTTGGACAGCCAGCCGTGTGGGGGCAGAATTTGCCCAGAGAGGCTGACGCTGCAAGGAGCCCCCCTCTGCTGTCCCAGGTGGGCAGAAGGGGCCCCTTGCAGGTTTGGACCTGAGGCTCCACACTGTCATTCCAGGCATCATTTCATCCACATGAGGTACCCAGGAGGGAGATATTTAATTCCCATTTTACTGCAGAAGAAACTAAACTGCAGGAGGTTAACTGACTGTCCTAAGACCATGGGTGCAAGGACAAGACCCCAGGACCGCCTCACGCTGAGCTCACGTCCTTCCTCGCCTGCCACACATCTGCTCCGAGAGCTCATATGTCCTTGAGGATGCTTTACAAACTAGGACCAGACATTGACTTCAGCTTGCCCCCTGCCTGCCCCCACTCACCTTCCTGTTGCCTTTCTCTGTAGCGCTTTTCACCAGCTTGCATGCGATCTGTCTTGTTGACTGTGTCCTACCCATAGAGTGTGAGCTCCATGAGTGCTTTGGGCACTGCTGTTTCCCCAGAGCAGAGCGAGGGAGGCACACGGCAGGCGCTCAGCAGGCTGCTTCCGCCTCACTGCTCACAAGGCCACATCAGCTTCTCACCGCGTTTGGACCTCTGTCAAATGGTGTGCACAGCCATCCTCCTCTGGCTCCTGGATTGGTCCATCATTTCTGTGAACTCACTTTGAAAGGCATACATTCATTATAGGAAGATAAAATAGACATTTGGAATCGAGAGTGTAGAATTCTCATCCATTCCCTCGCTTCACAGCAGTAAGCACTGTCGCCTGTGCATAAGCTGGCTGCAAAGTATTGCAGGGCACGTGGTGGTGAGGGGTTCCCAAGGCCAGGGTTCCCGCGGCAGCAGGGAGGCCCAGTCTGGCATCTTCCTGGCCGGCTGGACTCAAGGAGCCACGGCTGTGGCCTCCAAGGGAATTATTACTAACAGTGGCCGCACCACTCACAAGCAAGGGAGGCATTTTGAAAAAAGGTAAATTAAAGCGAATTAGCTTAATTAAACTTAGGAAGAAACACAATAAAACAACATTTTCCAACTCAGTTTTTAAGATGGAATTCAGTTTGATAAAAATTGACTTTGAAGATGGACTTCATTTTGGTAAAAATTGATGTTAATGCAAGTTGCTTTGCCGACACTTAAATTGACAAACTGGAAGAAGACTTACAGAGGTGATGACTTACAGCTCATGAAAGTGGCAGTTACTGCTCGTCACCAGCTGGGCTCCCAAAGTCCTCTTGACAGTTGAATCTTGTCTCGTCCATTCTTCTCTCCTGCTTTCCTTCATCTACTGGAGCGGAGTCACTTTTCATCGTGACTTTGCCCAAGCGCCTCTGCCACCTTCTGGACCATTAAGTGTTGGCTGGTGATGTTGCCACAAAACATCACATCAGCAGGTATGACTTTTCTCCACAAGCCTTGGGTGAAAATGGCTAAATTCCTTAAATTCTCTAAATCAGTTTTAATCTCTGTACCCCAACCTGCTGGCTGTGGTGGGATATGCAATCTGTCTTTTGGAACTTCCTCTCCTGCCTCTCAAGTTCAGACAAAGTTCCCCCCACCCACACCTAAGCAGGCAGCTCTTTCAACGTCATGCCGTCTCCCCACACTGCCTGGTGGCTTTGCCACTATTTCCCAGTGTGCTCTGTCTTTTCTCCTCCTCCCTTGCCCCCCGCCCCCCGGGTCCTGGGTCTTGGTGGTTTTCTGGCAATGCTGTCATTAGGTAACACAGAAGCCACCAAGTCAATGAACAGAAAAGCTTGGCCAACTTCTTAGGCAAGGAGAAGGAAAATAGCTACAGTGGCTAGAAAAATGGCTAATTATATTCTAGTAAACTACCTCCCAGCAGCCATTCAGTTATGATTTATCAAAGTCCAAAAATGTGCGAATGAGGCTAAAATAAGACATTTTGAATTCAGACCCATTTTATTTCTCAATTTTAACCAAGATTTGCTTTTCTTCCTGTTTTTATCTAAAAGAGAAGTAAAACCTTTGTAAGTCTGGGATCCTGGATTTCAACTTTTGGCCAATTTCTGGCTGTGGATTCTCTTTAAATGACTGTATATTAGGTTACTGAAAGTTAGTGAGTCCTGCCCGAGTTGGGGCAAGAGGGGGGAAAGTGAGGAAAGGCAGTCCCGACAGCCTGTAGCTCAGATGTCCTGGGTAAAGGCTCAGCACCAGGCCGAGTGCAGGCCAGAATCAGCACTGCTTGTGAAGTTAGAGGTCAGCCAATGCAGGTGGCCTCTAAACTGATGGCCGAAATGGGGTGCAGGGACTCGAGTGTGGTGGTGGTGGTGGTGGTGGTGGTGGTGGTGGTGGTGATGGTGGTGGTGGTGATGGTGGCGGTGGTGAGAGGCAGGGACCACCTGGAGGCCCCTCACTCTGCTATGGTCCCAGTCTCCGCACAGGCCCGGTGCTGGGCCTGGCGCTGCCAGCCTCCTCCATACTGCCCGACTCCTCTGGGCACAGGAGGAGAATGCTCAGGGTGACAGGCAGCAGGAGTTGTCCCGAGGAGAACCAGGCAGCCTTCCTCATTTTGGAAGGTGCTTGCACCCCCTGGAGGCAGCAGGCCTTCCCTGCAGGACACTTATTTCAGAGAAATGGCTAACACCCTGCTATTTGCATGTGTTTGTTTTTTGTACTAGAATTCTTGTGGGGTAAACATCATATAGCAAGATATAAACCCCATAGAAAATAAACCTCTTATTTAAAAAGTAAATCATTTTCTGATGTGTTTTGATTTGTGCCATTTCTTAGGAGAAAGTAATTTTTTTAAACCATTTTTGAATGGGGACTGAGGTGTCAGTGCATGCTGAGGAAAGGGTTGGGGTTCTTTAACTCCAACTCTTTCTTCCCCGACCATCTGTGCTTTCCCAGGGCAGGAGACAGGACTCCAGTGGCCTCTGCTGCCCTTGCTGTTCTAAAGGGCCTGGACTAGGTGGCTATTTTTAGCACTGGCTGCCCTGGTGAGCACGGCAGTGAATAGGCCTGTGGGCCAAGTGGCACTAATCCTATGGGGACCAGTAGGTGGAGAAGGTGGAGATGGGCTCCAGTCCAGTGGGGGCCTCAGAGGAAGTTTTCCTTGTCCAGCGGTCTACCATGGGTTGTATAACTTTCCTTTTTGAGCTGTGTCCTCTCCTTGCATGAAAGCTGTGTGGGTAACCAGGGCCCCCAAGTGCGGCTGCTGGCTGTGTTGGGCTGTGTGGGCAGATGCAGGGGCACGGGAAGCAGGAGGGTGCTGGGAGGAGAGCTGGGCCTCCCCTCTGGGCTCCAGCCCTCTCTGAAGAGGGAGCACCTATGCGGGTCTCAGGCGCCTCCTTCACACTCCTCCTGGAGAGGTGCCTGGCCCTGCTTCCCAGGTGGGGCTGAGCCGAGCCTCAGGACCCTGACAGCGAAGGCCACCTTTCCTTTCCTCTTCTAACTGCAGAGAGCCTGGCAGGGTGTGGCCTGGTGTGGGTCCTAGAACCCAGAGCCAATGAGGAAGGTCAGTGAGCCAGGACAAGTAGGACAGGGAAACCGAGACAGACAGCTGAACAAACCGGAAGAGCAACCACAGCCGATCAGAAGTCACCTGGAGATAACATCGGCTTCAGCTGTATTTCAGCTCCAGGCCCAGAGAAGCAGCAAACCCAGGTGGGCGGCACCAGGACCACCTGCAATGACTAAGGACCTCCTGTCCTGGAGCTGGGAGACCAGGACCCTGAAAGAACACCCCTGGAAAACTGGGGAGTATTCTGCTGACCATCCCCCCCCGGGACTCCACTAAGATTCCCAAAGCAACCAGACAGATGTGGGTTCACCTCTCGCCTACTCCTTACCCAGCTGCCTGAGACAGTGAAGTTTGTTGTCAGAGAGCAGAGACATGGCTGACTGAAGCAGAAAGGGATATGTTCAGAGGAGCCTGGGCTGCCCCCAAGGTTGGGTAGGAAGGTTGGGGACCCAGGCTGGACCAGGGGCAGGGACAAAGAGCTACTCAGCAGGGCCAATTCTATAATTTATTTGATCTTATATATTTTATTTCTTGGAATAATGATTGCTGCATTTGAAAATAATCTGATGTACTCATTATAAGGATTTAAGAAAAAAGAAAGGTATAGAGAAGAAACTTAAAATATCATCCTTGGTTCAACTACCTAGAAGAAGTCATGTAGGTTTGAAGGAGGTGATCACCTGATAGCCGTATATATAGGGTGTCCCCCAAAAATGTATACACACACTCTGAATAATGATAAAGGCAGTGTTTATTAAAATATATTTCATTTTCAAAATGGAGCTATCAGGTGTTAAAATGTGTATACATTTTGGGGGACATCCTGTATATATTCTGTGTGTGTGTGTGTGTGTGTGTGTGCATGCGCACCCATGTGTGACAGAGAGAACCCCTATAATGTAAGCCTATCAGGGGGCCACACATACATCCTGGACATGAACAGGGTACTAAAATTCAACCATGCACTGAATCTCATTTGAATTTAGCAGAAGGAAAAGGAACTGGAGTGAACCTTTCCTCCCATCTGGACTTTCCTGTTTATGTAGGGATGGCTCTGTTTTCCAGTGCAACCTCCTTGGTATTGGTGGTGGCCCAGCAGTGTGCTCAGATTCCACAGCTCTGGAGTTGGGGACGGTGCTGGTGAGGTCAGGGTTGTGTGGCAGCCAGCCCAGTGCCCTAGGGACGTGGCCTGCGGCATCTGCTGCCCGGGTCAGCAGGCAGCCAGGCCAGAGGCTCCAGCACTCTCCTCACTCAGACGTCTTGACCTGGGTGCCCCTCTCTGCCGGCCTCACCCCCTCCACGACTTTGGACTGAGTCCTAAAGGCTTCTCACTTTTGGGCCCCTGGTGACTCCAGTAGGTTAGGGGTGCATGGCCCCTTATCTCACACGGGAGCCACCAGCTACAGATGTCCGTTGAGCACACTAGACAAGTGACACATGAGCATGGGAACGTGCTGTAAGATTTTAAAGACTTTGTATAAAACATCTCATTCATAATAATTTTTATATTGAGCATGTGTTGAAATGATACGACTATGAATATAGAGGGTTAAATAAGATATAATATTGCATCCACCCAGCAGCAAACTCCCCAGCACTGATTCGCCCGCTCAGTGTTTCACTGACTTACCAACTCTTCCCAGCACTTACAATGAGAAGCCCTGCAAACACCTGTCTTCACCCAGACAAGAGAGTAGCACCTGGGTTTCCAAACCGCGTCCCTGTGGGTACCAATGCTCCACAGAGGTGCTCAGGGACCCCCGAGCATGGGAGTGGATGGGATGCAGAGGGAAAGAGAACAAGATGTGGCTGGTAAGAGCTCAAAGGTGAAAATAAGTCTGGAAGCCGTCACCTAGCACCTCGCACAGAACCTGGGTGTGCAGTCAGTCAGCCCCCTAATGGAACTGTGCTCAGCCCGGCCCCCCGTGCCTCTCACCTGCATAGGCACGATGCTCAGGAATCTGGGCTGTCTTCAGGTGTGGGCCCCCAGACAGCACCTGCAGGTCAGCCCCAGCATCTCAGCCAGCGCCTTCAGAGGTCACCCTCGAATAACAGCTCTGCAGATGGCTCAGTTTGGCAGCCACATCAGGGGAGGCATAGTTATCTGAGACCGGCTTCCGGTGGTCTGCAGCACAGGGGGCATCTTGGCATGCAGGCCCGCTTTGTCCAGGCATGGAAAGGGCCTCGCTCATGGGCACGGTGATGTCAGGCTCTCCTCCTGCCAGTCCCAGGTCTCGCCAGTGCTGGCACTCAGGGCCATCGGCGTGGGCATGGAGGCATATAGGGGACTTCTGCCCACCTGGTAGATGCCCACAGAGAGGGCCCCTCCAGCCATGGGCTCCCTGATGACGGTGGCCTGCCGCAGGTCCTGCATGGTGTGAGCAAAAGCCTTTGTTGCCGACCTGCTGGTGTGGCTCATCAGGATGTGCAGGTCCTTGTGGGGCTGTAGCGCTGACCAGTCACCTGGGGAAGGGCCGCACCTCTGTGACCCTCGAGGTGGCCCTGCCAAAGACAGAGTAGAGGTACTGGTGGGCTCTGCCTCAGGAAAGTAGGAACAGAGCAGGGGTCCCAGCCTCTGCCACACCAGCAGCGTCAGCTGCGGCCCGATGCCTTCATGATCTCCAGCTCAGCCATGGCTCAAAGCGCAAGTAGCCCAGCGGGCTGGCAGCACCTTGTCTTGAACAAGGCCGGATGAGGTAGGAGGGCTCCTGGGGGAGGAGCTGGCAGGAGAGGGGGCGCCTCCTCTGGTGCCAGCCCCTGAGGCTGTGCAGCACCAGAGCATGGTAATCTCCAGACAGACACCTCTTACAGGTCAGCCGTGAGCTGGGAAGCCACGGCCTCCAGGTCCATGGCTGTGCAGTAGGCCCTCTGGCCAGCTTGGCTCATAGCAGGTCTCCTATCTGCCCGACAGGCTGTGCATAGTGAGCCTCCAGCAGACACACGTGCCCTTTACCAAGGCCCCAGGCCCCGGTGGAACGCCAGCACCTCCCGGGCCCTGTGCAGGGCCTCCTCGGCCAGCCCGCTGCCATCGGGCCTCCCGCGCCCCAGCCAGCGCTCGCTGAGGTTGTTGATGAGGGTGCGCAGGGCACCGTGAGCGCCAGGCCGCCCTCGGGTCTGCAGCAGGGGCAGTGCTCTGTGCTCGGGGGCCCGCGGTGACAGTGATCTCGCCCCGCAGTGGGGCCCAGCCCAGCGACTGCAGGACGGCCAGCTCCTCGGCGGCCAGGCCCTGGCCATGCGGTGGCTGGTGAACAGGTACACCCCGCTCGGGGAGCCCAGGAGCCCCGCGCTGGCCCGGCAGCCCCCAGAGGGAGGCGGAAGTGCTCCCGTGTGACGATGGTGCTGCGGTCCTGGGTGGTGAAGAGGCCCTGGGGAAGGGCAGCGGCAGGGCCCTGCGCAGGACAGCGCTCCGGGCGGGGTCCCTGTGCAGGTCCTCCATCAGGGGCTCCGCGGCCTGCAGAGCCCCCCACACCTGGTGCAGGACGCATGGCCTAGCGCCCCAGCACAGGTAGCCCACATGGCCCAGCAGCATGGACCCCTGGAACCCGGAGTCCTCCAGGGCCGCCGAGAAACTTCTCCTCCGGCATCGGTGCAGGCAGCGCGGGGGCGGAGGGGGGTTGGGCGGGCAGCCCCACGCTCAGGCCCCCGGTGGTGTTTGGGGCCCCACGGCCGCACCCGGAGCCTGGGGTCGCTGGGACACAGCCTGCAGACCTGCGCTGAGCAGCCTGGCC